GGCCAACGATCCGAACGAAAAAAGTGGATTCATTGCTTTGAAGATGTCAATGCCATTATCTTCATCGCAGCTGTGAGCGAATACGATGAAGTCCTGTTCGAGGATGAAACAACGGTGGGAAACAATTTTTTTGAATTTTTCGGAAGTTTATAGGTAATGATAGCGCAGCTATATAGGGCTTAGGCAGCCTACGCAATGTCCCTTTTGTTTGAGCGTTGAACAATTCTATTAAATAGCGTTGCCATGTAGACAAGGATGTAATAAGTGAGACACGAAAAGCTTTGTAATGACTTATTACGTTAGGCGACGTAATGGGCTGGCGTTCTGAGACATTTGCTGACTTTAACAAAAAATAAGTAACATAGGCACAAGCCTATCACGTCTACCAAAGATTAAACTGATTCTATGCTACTTTGTCGAAGTAATACTTAATATTAGCGCATGCGCAAATTCTTTCCATCATATGACTATAATTGACTCTGGCCGCAAAACTGAGACTTTTCTAGAAACGTTTCAGTTCTCTGGTTCTCAGTTACGGAAGTAGTTAGCTGACAATTACGTAGAGAGGCAAAATGATAATTTCATCAAGCAGCGAATAGTACAAACAAGTCTAGTGACTACGTACACATTTTTGTATAGTTGAGGGATGTTGTGCGTCCACAAAAGCGAATGATTATTACTGGTATGGAGTTACTTGAAATTGAGATCTAAACAAGATACTTTACAAACAAATTCCGATAGTTTTGGCGACCAATGTAATTGATCACTTCACATATACACTTGCAAATTTGCACTAAGTTTCACGTTATTATCTGAAAACAATTTAGAATCGAATGCTGGAATCTCAGCGCCTGTTTGAATCAATCTGCAACAGTCGTTGGTTTATCAATACCTCGATAATTTTGTTTATGAACAAAAAGGACTTGTTCATGGAGAAAATCAAACGAGTCTCGATCAAAACAGCATTTCCAGAATACTCAGGTTCGTGCGGGAGTTTTGTATCTTATTATAGTGCCAAGCGTACACTTATAATCATTGGCTCAATTGATAAAAGTTCAATAGATTTCAAATCCAGAATGGTAGATGACAAGATTTCAGATGCAAAGCAATAATCTGAAAGATGCAAATGACAGCGTTCACAACAATTTTTTTTGGGACAATTACCTCCGATTGAATTCATAAAGCATATATTATATAATGATTTCATTAAAGTTCCATCCTGTTAAGGCCCACAAACATACGAAGATTCAATCAAATACATCAAGCAACGGTTTGAGATGTTGAATCAAAATCCCAAGAAAACCATATTTGTTCACGAGACGTGCGCCACGGACACTGATCAAGTGCAGAAGATTCTCGACTCTGTGATTTCGATGATTATTCAACAGAATCTTCACAAGAGTGGACTCTACTGATTTACAACCACTGCATGTCGCCAAGTTTGCACAGCTTATCATATATGAAAAGCCATGTTATCGCAAAAATTTGAAAAGTTCTTTTCTCTGCGATATGTGCCATTTATTTATAATCGCGATTACGATCATATTTTTTTCTGAAATAGTTTGCTTCATTGTGCACCTGCAGCTGTGGCAATTCCTACTACAATTTT